TTAATAACTTAATACTTTTTGCCCTTTAAGCTGCTGGTAACCTTAATTTCCTGAGGGAGTCTTCCCAAGGGATCAATAAAGTACTGTCTAAGTCTCTAAGTCTGTCTATTTCTGTGGTTAATCTTCGTGTCTCCTCCACGTTGCCCCCCCCCTCAGGTGGTGTCGGACACGGTGGGCATGGTGTACCAGTCCGTGGCCGGGGCCAAAGACGCGGTGGTGGGCGCGGTGATGGGCGGCGTGGAGCTGACCCGTTCAGCGGTCAGCACCGTGATGGGAACCCGCATGGGCCAGATGGTCAGCAGCGGGATGGGCCGGGCCCTGAGCCGGTCCGAGGACTGGGTCGACCAGAACCTGCCGCTCACCGAGAGAGAGCTGGGTCAGTGTTCGATTTAAAACTGCCGATGACTTTAGCAGAATAAAAGTAGCTGATCAGAGAAGAGTTGTCACGATGCTAACGTGTTCAACTCGATACTGATGCTCAGGAAAATATTAGATACCGTTTTCGATACCACAAGGATAAAAACAAAGACCCTAACCCTAACAAAGACCCTAACACAAACCCTGACCCTAAACCTAACCATGACCCTAACTCTAACCCAAAATCCTTCATAATTGTGAGAAATTAATATTTTTTGGTTAAACTTGTTTGGACTTATTGTATACCACAAGGATAAAAACAAAGTTGGGTTTAATATGTAAAAAAGTAGGGTTGTCACGATACTAACATGTTCAATTCGATACTGATACTCAGGAAAATGTTCGATACTCGATACCATTTTTGATACCACAAGGATAAAAACAAAGACCCCAAAATTTAACTGAATTTTGACAGGTTAGTGTCTTTGGTTTCAAACTGACCTGTTACTGATGTTATGGTGGCCCACATTAATGACCCTAACCCTAAACCTAACCCTAAACCTAACACTAACCCTAACCCTAACCCTAACCCTAAACCATAACCCTAACCCTAACCCTAACCCTAACCCTGACCCTAATCCTAACCCTAACCATAATCCAAACCCTGGACCTAACCCTAAACCTGACCCTAACCCTAACCATAACCCTTCGCCCTTATTGTACAAACCTATTTAACATGCACTATTTTAACATAATATTATGTATAGAGTTTAATTCAGTGTTTGCAAGATTCATTCACTATTTTAAATTAATGTCTATATTGCCTTGAAGCAATTAGGATTGGTATTGGTAGATAGATAGATAGATAGATAGATAGATAGATAGATAGATAGATAGATAGATAGATAGATAGATAGATAGATAGATAGATAGATAGATACTTTATTGATTCCCAAGGGGAAATTCAAGGTCCCATCAGCTTAAGACATTACACACAACATACACTACAGTTCACACAGTATCTTACAAAATCACTAGGATACTAAATTAACAAAACTACCAGATCAACATTACTAGGGGCTATAAAGTACTTAAAAGCACTAGAGTACTACACACCAAATACTAATTTAAAACAAAAGAATAATCAAAATGGCCGACTTGGATGTGGAGGAGTTGGATCTCCATCCTTGGCTTCCTGCAGACTTGATTAATGTTGGCGTGTTGTTATTAGCCATTAGCTGCAGCTAGCAATTCAAGGCTAACGTCATGTTGATGATCATAAACGATACTTTTTAAAATGAGTATCGTATCCAGATACAACGTTTTAGTATCAATACTTTTTTGAGTATGCATACCTTTGACAACCCTACTCATAAGATGCACAGTGGAGGAATGAGTCTTACTTCTGGGAGAGGGGTGGGAGCACAGTTTCTGACTAGATACAAACTCAAACTCAAACTAAATTAACTAAAATGAGACGAGTGTTCACAAACAGGATCAGAAATGAGAGGAGAGGTGAGGCACCGGGGGGGTGTTATGATCAGGGCTCTAACCCGGCCTAAGGATGGAGTCATGAATGATTGGGGCTATTAATAGGGAAGGTGGCAGGACGTTGTGGTGAACCTCCTGTTCACTTGGCCAGATAAACCCCATCTATTTCCAATACTCAGGGCTCTGACACCTGCCATGGTGATGTCATTCCACCACCACTCTGATTGCAGGCGAGGAAACTCCAGTTTTCCTTCAGCCTGGTGTTTCTCTCAGCCTCTCTTCTGAGGAGATGTGCTTTAACCCAGTCGGAGTTAGGGTTGTCAAAAGTATCGACACTTAAAAAAGTATTGATACTAAAATGTTGTACGATACTCATTTTCAAAAGTATCGATACCTGTATTTATTTATTTACGTTGTTTATAATCATTAAAAAGACGTTAGCCTTGAAGTGCTAGCTGCGGCTAATGGCTAATAATAACACGCCAACATTAATCAAGTACATATCCAACTCCACCACATCCAAGTCGGCCATTTTGATTAGGTCACCAATAGGACGATCCCAGGCAAGAAAATCCTAATTGCTTCATGGCAATATAGACATTAATTTAAAAATAGTGAAATTATTATTATTATTTCAAACACTTAATTAAACTCTATCCATAATATTATGTTAAAATAGTGGATGTTAAATAGGTTTGTACAATAAGTCCAAACTAGTTTAACCAAAAAAATATTTATTTCTCACATTTATGAAGGGTGGAGGGTTAGGGTTAGCGTTAGGTTTAGGGTTCGGGTCAGGGTTAGGATTAGGGTCATTAATACGGGTCACCAGTCACCATAACATCAGTAACAGGTCAGTTTGAAACCAAAGACACTAACCCGTCAAAATTCATTAACATTTTTGGGTCTTTTTTTTATTGTTGTGGTATCGAAAATGGTATCGAGTATCAAGTATTTTCCTGAGTATCGGTATCCAGTTGAAAATTTTAGTATCGTGACAGCCCTAGTCGGAGTCCAGCAGACCAGTCCAGCTTTGAACAGCTGCACCGGTTTGCATATTGGGAGGGAATTGTGCAACTGGGCTACTTTCTTTCAGCTCTATTTTACCACCGAAGTCAGAACGTTAAAGCTGCTACTAGTTTTTTTTTACACTGTGACATAACTTCTTTCTCAGTGGGGTCCAGGTCTGGTTTTTGACGCCCCGTTTGAGGCCAGAGAATCCTGGCATTGTTGTCTCGAAGCTAGCCAATGACATTCAAACAAAACGAATATAATAAATAAATAAAATCCTGTAGATGGGGACAACTTTTCAGCAGGCCTCCATATTTTTGGAGGGCATTCAATGTTGCTGAGACTAAATTAACCCCAGATTAGGATGTGAAACACTGTAAAAACTGACTCATCCACCCACTTCAAGGTCCAGTTTTTATACTTTCTAACAACTTGAACTTGTGAAAATTCACTTACATTACGAAAAACCTCTTTTATTATAAAGTTATTATTGGTAAATCTGTGTTATAACTTCATGCTAGCTGACAATAACCATATCCAACTGATATTAGGTTCTTACCCGTTTGCACTGTGTCTTGTTTGTTTGGTTTTATTAATAGTTTTATTAAGAGTACAGACAAAAACAATTAAGCCACAAAAAGTCCTAAAATAACAGTTGGACATGCACACTTCAAGTTAATGAAAAAGCTAGATATCAGTTACTTAATGACTCAAGTATTCTTGTATCAAAGCTTATTAACGGCATTATTTCAGTTTAGAAAGATGCAAATTTCCTCTTATGACAAGGTAAGAATGAATACTTAGGAAATGCTCATAAAATATGGCCTTTTGGAGACTCTAACTGAGGTAAAAGGTTAATACACCTCCATTCCTAACACACAGGAAAAAGAAAAACATGTAAACCTCGTCCTGTCAGCCTGATTATGTTAACCTACTGAAGCTAAAGATAGTCAGAACCAGGACTTTTTTTCAGGTTTGGATGCACAAGCTGCATCTAATTCTGCAATATAAAAGCTGTTAGAAGGGAAATGACTCACAAATAAACCAATAGTAGTCGACATATAGCCGTAAAACCACAGATACAAGACTTCCTCCTCAGCAGAACGAGCAGATAATGTCGACTTGGCTGTGGAAGAAGATGGTGCCTCAGAGTCCAAAGTACTCTGGATAACATCCGTCTTCTTGGGCATATTTCCAAGAACACGATCGCTCATCAGCAATAAACTGTTTATTTCACTTTACGAGGCAACACAAAAAAACCCTCATTAACATTCTTTGGTCGGATAAAACGTTTTTTTAGAGGGTCGGACTGGGTTCTGGGGAAATCTGGGCCGGACCACACAGGGAATAATTAAAGAGACAGGACGCCACCCATGGAGGCACCATCAGTACTTTGGGGAAAATGGTTTCAGAACTTTAAAGATCCACCATTGATGCACACTACCAGATTAACAGATTAGATATTACAGTGGGGGAAATAAGTATTTGACCCCTTGCTGATTTTGCAGGTTTTCCCACTTACAAAGAATGCTTATTTTTCCTCATCAGATGGTTATCAATTTTTATAAATTCATATGATGTGATTTTCTGGAATTTTCTTTGGGATTCTGTCTTTCACTGTTAGAATGCACATATGATTAAAGTTATAGATCGTTGCATTCTTTGTAAGTGGGCAAACCTGCAAAATCAGCAAGGGGTCAAATACTTATTTCCCCCACTGTAGATCAAATACGTCTCACACCTCTAACTGATGTTTATGTATTTATGTTTCTGCATTTAGACGCTTTTATCGAAAGCGACTTATAAAGTAGACACGATTTTACAGATATAATCAACATGACAATAGGTTCTCTAGAGCAGTGTTTTTCAACCTTTTTTGAGCCAAGGTACATTTTTTCATTGAACAAATCTCGAGGCACACCACCAACCAAAAATGTTAAACAAATCTGTAGCTGCCTATAGTAACACTATAGTTATTCTTGTTTTATTCTTATCTTATCTTAAGTGTCTTGAATAAGAATCAAATAAACACAAAAATGTATTTTTATCATATTTTATATTTCTTCTTTCAAATTGCACTTAACATGTCCACTTCAATATGCAAAATTATAAACAAAATCTAGTCATAAGGAATTATTACATGATTACGCCACCAGTCACTAGAACAGCACAGACACTCAAAAATGGCACATTATTTACAGAAAATTAATTCCTTATCAAAAAATCTTTTTAGGCCAATTAGGTGAAATAGGATGATTTTCTACGGCACACCTGACCATCACTCACAGCACACTAGTGTACCGAGGCACAGTGGTTGAAAAACACTGCTCTAGAGCAAAGAAATATAAAATATGATAAAAATAAATGTTTGTGTTTATTTGATTCCTATTCAAGACACTTAAGATAAGAATAAAATAAGAATAACTATAGTGTTACTATAGGCGGCTACAGATTTGTTTAACATTTTTGGTTGGTGGTGTGCCTCGTGATTTTTTCTATGAAAAAATGTACCTTGGCTCAAAAAAGGTTGAAAAACACTGATCTAGAGGGTCCAGAGTCCCCCAACTGATTTGAAGACCGGTGTGTGGCTCTGGGTTGGAGTCCCAGGGGGAACAAGGACCATTAGGGAATCAGAGGTTACCATAATGGATGGATGTTACTTTGGTCTAGATAGGCTGACGTCTAGTTTTGATTCAAAACAACTCAACTTTATTTGTATAGCGTCAGTTCGTGACAATGTCACCTCACCTTGTCATGAGATCTACCGATAGTAACTTGGAGATCGACTGGTAGATCGCGATTGACGTATTGAGCACCCCCAACCGGCCGAGGCAGATGGCCGCCCACCCACCCTGAGCCATGGTTCTGCTCCAGGTTTCTGCCTGTTAAAAGGAAGTTTTTCCTCGCCTGTGTCGCCCAGTGCTTGCTCATGGTGGGAATTGTTGGGTTTCTGTAGTTAACTTCAGAGTAGGGTCTGAGCTGCTCTGTTTGGAAAGCTGTGAGACAACTGTTGTTGTGATGTGGCGCTATAGAAATAAAATTGAATTTAATTAAAAAAAAATTCTGAGTGTCTGTGCTGTACTAGTGATTAATGGCGTAATCATGTAATAATTCCTTATGACTAGATTTTGTATATAATTTTGTATATTGAAGTGGCAATTTGAAAGAAGAAATATAAAATATGATAAAAATAAATTTGATTCCTATTCAAGACACTTAAGATAAGATAAGAATAACTATAGTGTTACTATAGGCGGCTACAGATTTGTTTAACATTTTTGGTTGGTGGTGTGCCTCGGGATTTTTGGGTTCTGGGTTGGAGTCCCGGGGGAACCAGGACCTTTCTGGGTGGAGTCTGCATGTTCTCCTGCATGTATTGAGCACCCCTGGTCTAGATTATGAAAAGTCCCCCATCTGATTTGAGCACCTGTGTTTCCCTTCCCTTTTAGCTGCTATAGCCGAGCCCCCCTCCCCCGGGTCGGTTTCCTGCGCCCCCCCGACCTACTTCGTGCGTTTGGGGAAGCTGTCGGCTAAAGTGCAGGAGCGGGCCCTGGAGCAGTCCCTGCTGCGGGCGCGCCACGCCCGCCAGGCCTCCTACGCCACGGTGGCCCAGATCAGCAGCACCCTGGACCTGCTGGAGGGCGCCCGGGGGGGGGGGGGGAACCGGGGGGGGGGACCGGGGGGGGGGCGGGAACTCAGAGGATCAGCTTCTGCTGAGATGGACGGAGTGGCAGCAAAAACAGGGAGCAGCCGCACAAACGGAGCCCGACGGGCCCAAAGACCAGTCCCAGGTGCCTGTCCAAACGGTTTTTTATGGATTTGATTAGCTTTCTCTAGGAAAAAAAACTGGAAAAAAAGGAGTTTTATTGACGAACCTTCCATTAGAATTCAAATTTCTAATTTGATCTGGTTCTCATCAACTCAACTATGTTTATCTTGCCACGTTTCACATTGGAGGCATGAAAACTGTTTGAAAATCAGTAAATAATAGTCAGTTTACTATTACTATTCTACTAAGGGACATTTCGTAAAAGGGACATATTATGCAAAACCAAGTTTTTAATCATTTGATTATGTACATTTGGGACTGAAAACTGTTTGAAAATCAGTAAATAATTTAGACTAGTCGGTTTACTATTACTATTCCTACATATGTGCGTCCTTAAAGGAGACAGAAACTACCCACTCCTGAAACCTCCTGATTTATCTCCTGGATTCAGACTGAGGCGGCCCACAAAAACATGACCCAGTAATTTTTTTTCACACTTTGCCTGCTGATAGGCCCTCCACAGTCCCAAACGTACATAATCAAATGATTAAGAACTTGGTTTTGCATAATATGTCCCCTTTAATCAACCAATCAATCAATCAATCAATCAATCAATCAATCAATCACTTTATTTTGGTAAATTGTCCACATTAAACACAAGAAACAACAAAAGAAAAAAAGAAAAGAACAATAGACAAACCCACAGTTTACCAAAAAAGGAATAGGCCGAAGCAAAGCTTATTCTTGCCTACCCTATTTTTTACCTTACAACCTACCAGGATTTCTTCAAATTCAGATTCAAGTACATAGTACATATATAGATCTACATAACAGCGTAAGATTTTATCATTTTACATTTTAAAGCTCTTTTAAAGTTCACCAAGAAAAGACATAACTTAAATTCATCATTCAATTCATTCCACAGTTTCACACCAATAACTGAAACACATCGAGACTTAATCTGACTTTTCTCTTTTGCACATTCAAATATAAACAAACCTCGCAAATTATATATATATTTTTTCTTAACTTAAATAATTTCTGAATACCAGAAGGAAGACTTTTATTCAATGCTTTATACATTACTTTATTTCCAGTATTTTTGTATAAACAATATCTTTAAATTTTAATATTTTACTTTGAATAAAGAGTTAATCTCTCCTGCCTCCACCTCCGCAGCAGCTGGAGTGGAAGACCCTCTCCATGGTCCGAGGCCTGAGCTCCCAGTTGGGGGCGGCCTGCTCCAGTGTGGTGTCCAGTGCTCAGGGCCTCCCGGGGGCTGTCCAGGAGCAGCTCTCCAGCGCCCGGCGGGCGGCCGAAGACCTGCAGGCGTCCCTGGGGAACACCAGCAGCATCACCCCCGTCCTGCTGGAGAAAAGCCGCCAGCAGCTCAAACAGGTAGAGACTAGGGATGGGAATCTTCACCACCAAGGCGATACGATACACATCTCGATACACAGCCAACGATTCGATACATTCACGATTCATGGAATTTCTAGTGATAAGATTCGATACGATTCTCCAACCTCCTGCGATCCGGTGCGATACAGAACGATCTAAATTTAAAATGCTGCGATACAGTGCGATACGATACGATACAATACGATGCGATGCAATGCAGAAGAAAAGTACACCATGGACTACATAGTTCAAGTTATGGCACGCAAGCTAACTGTGCCTTTTATTTTGAAACAAAGGAAGTGCAACTTAGAGAGTGATTGTCTCTCTGAAACTTTACAAAAAACGCAACTAAAACTCAAAGACACGTTTCTAAAAAGTTATAATAATAGAAGATAATAATCGGTTTGTATCGATGCAGGTAGTTTTATACGATGCATCTCGAGTTTATGTGCGTTTTTTACCGATGCAGACGTTTGCAAATCGATGCAACCGTATCGCACTGGTCGTTCCGATGTTCCGATACGCATCGGTGAATCTTGCCATGCCTAGTAGAGACCAAGCCCAAACTTTCTCTAACCGGGTTTCTGTCAGCTTAAAAGAATGTCTCAGTGCTTAAATTTTGAGCAGCCTGTAGGAGCCTCGGTTGGATGTCCAACTCCTCCCACGTCCAAGTCGGCCATTTTGGTTAGGTCATGTGACTAGCATCTTTCTGAAGTGGAGACGAAACTTTACTGTCTAAATGAAATCGGAAGATAAATTATGTCCTAACCCTAAACCTGACCCTAACCCTAAAACTCTAACCCTAACCCTGACACTAAAACTCTAACCCTAACCCTAAACCTAACCATGACCCTAAGCCTATACATAACCCTGACCCTAAAACTCTAACCCTAACCCTGACCCCAACCCTAACCTTAAAACTCTTACCTTAACCATAACCCTGACCCTAAAACTCTAACCGTAACCCTGACCCTAACCCTGACCCCAACCCTAACCCTAACCTTAAAACTCTAACCCTAACCATAACCCTGACCCTAAACCTAACCATGACCCTAACCCTGACCCTAAAACGCTAACCCTAAACCTAACCATGACCCTAACCCTAAACATAACCCT